ATTATGAGGATAGGTAATATATGATATGACATCAGGATTTGATTCTTCTGAAATATTCTCATGAAATTCATTAGGACTGTCATTGTAGAGCGTAGGATCGTTAGAAAAATCAGCATCTATCCAAACCACATCAGGTTTTCGATCATGATTAGGTTCATTTAACATATTTTCCTCAGAATTGCAAGTAATTACATTAGAAATATGTGAATCATTAGGAAAAGTCATACCTGGTACAATAGCATGAGAATTCTGATAAATAGGTTGATTAGGAACTGTTGTCTCACAAGAATTCTGGATTTCACTTAACTCTGAACTGCCATATGACTCTGCACTGTCTTTTGAAATCGTTGATAAAGATAAATGATCATCATGAATACTCGACTCAGTAGAATCAGAATTACAAGACTTAATATTAGTTGCAGTAAGATGAACATTAGCATTACAAACTGACTGAACTTGTCCAATATCACGACATTTGAAGCACATAGAATTACGAAATTTACATGAATTAGAAGAGTGGAACTTGCAACAGGACAAACACTGAACAAACTTATCCCCATCCTCGTGAACTGCATCCAAACTCAATGAATTGTCTGCATAACCTTGAGTATGCACTGGGTTGGGATGACGTAGTAATGTAGTGGACTTTTTTATATCCTCATGAATCATTTTACGAAATCTTCCTCCTTTACGACATTCGAAATTTGTATACTGAGCATAGTCTAGCAGTAGATCCTTGAGAGCTGTATAAGAAAGCGAAATGGGCTTTTCCGGCATAGCCAGAGTTCTTAATAAGCTGTATGTTTCTTTTCCAATGAATGTGAGGAAGTGTGCCACAATATTAACATCCTCATCATCTTCCTTGGTCATAGCACAGATTTCGAACCTTTCAAAGTAATCTTCAAAAGCTTCCGAAGTTGAATGAATATCTAACTTTTCCATTGCAGGCTCCATCGCGACGCCAATATAGTATTCGAATTGTCGTATGAATTAGGAATTCCAGGATTAACGCAATTGAATTAAGAAGACACAGGCACAAACGAATGTATTGTATTTAGAATTCGAAATCGAGCATTCAAAAAGTACAAAGGTATCATTAGTTTCAGTTTCAGTTTCAGTTTGGGAAGGACAGGAGGCTCGATGGCCTATGTTAGTCCTGGCAATGGTGGTCTCTCAGTTGATCCAACTTTCTTTTGAAAGAGTCGACGGATGGAGCCTCAACCACGTGCTGAGGTAGTGAATTCCACTCGTTGATGATTCGATGGGAAAGTCGATAGTCAGCTGACAAGTAATTTGTTCTCGGCTTATGAACTTTTTTGGAGTGTCCTCGTAAATTCTCTGTTTTGGAAGACAAGAAAAATGAGGGCATGTTAGGTGCAAATTTATCACTAAGCAATTTGTAGACTATAATCAAGTCGCCTCTAGTTCATACACCACAGTTCTTCAATTATTGGTTCTGTGTTCATACCTTGGATTTATTTGGACATTTTGGACCAAATTTTCTGGTCCTATTGATCGATTTCGTGTGGATTAATTCGGATTTGTTTTGGTAATCGATTCTTTTTTAACCAAGGCATACGATGGAAATGCGAAGCAAAAGACCTAAGGAAAATGACGAGATGGAAGGTAAAATTTCTAAAGCTGTTTGTGGTATGTCTGATGTTAATGATGATAAACGTGATGTTAGTAATAATAATATGTCCTCTGATCAGCTTAGTACTTCTAGATTAAGGTTAGGCAAGGGATTACTAAGGAAGAAAAATTTAGAAAAGAGACTTGAGTTAGAAAGTCAGCTTAAGATGCTAAATCTCCAAAAAGAGGTTGATGTGGCTGAATTAGAATGTAGGGTCATAGAGGGCGATAATCCGCTGTCCGTGGACAAATATAAGATAAATGCTAAGGTGGAAAGGTATTTGGATTGTGATACTGGTTGTAATAATCATTCAAGGGAGATATTTAGCATCTCAAAAAGCGATCGGGTTGATGAGTTGAAGGATACGTTACATACTATGGTTAATAATATGGTTTTACCCAAGATTGATATGATGTATTTCGATGGACAACCGAGTCAATACCGCCGTTTTACTAGCTAGTTTACTAGCATTATCGAAAGTAAACTGACCGATAGAGGCCAATTGTTGTGATATTCGTTATACTATTGTAAAGGAAAGGCAAGGACGGCTATTGAAGCCCGCATTTCTCTGCCCAGTCATTTGGGTTATGATAGAGCTAAACAAATTTTATATGATCTGTTTGGTAAGGAACACCTTGTCGCTCGTGAAATGATTACTGAGTTACTTAACCACAAATCTGTTGAAGGATTTGCCGATAGCTTAACTGACTTCGCAATTAAGCTACGTCATGCATGCATAACATTGAAGGAAACGAGACATATGTCTGGGGTGAATTACACGGCAAATTTGGAAATAACAATGTCGTGTCTACCACCAGAACTACAAAATAAGTGGGCGAGACTTGCCGATAAGATTATGATGGCCGAGAAGGAGCCGAGCTCTAAAGAATTTGTGATCTTTGTAGAAGAAAGAGCCAGGCTTGCTCGGACACGTTTTGGTAGATTGGTACATTGTAACTCAAAGTTCAGTGAAAGTAATTAAGAATGCCAAGTTGATAAGAGATCACGCTTTAATGTAGTTAAGCGGGAACCAAGCAACTCATTCAAGGCTTTCAGTTGGGAAATTTGCTTTGGTGATCACAAAGAGACAGTGTACGAAGTTATCGAAAATAAATGTTACGGAAAGGAGACTTTGTCACGTGATATTTGACGGGTCATGGAACATTATGCAACCAACTTACATTAAAGGACAGGCTCATTCGGCAGTGATCGCAATCTGTTGTCTGTTCCTGTTGAATTATGGTCCCTTATGATATTAGTACTGCTCTAATAATAGACCCAATCCTAAAATTGTAGATTTGTCATGATGTAACTGCTTATCTATAATATCTTACGTGGAAGTCGTATCATTGTATACACCGACTCATCATGTCGTAACAATTGCCAGTATATGATGGAGAACATATTCAGGCTGGAGATAGAACAATATATTTAATATGAGTGATAGCAAGTTGCAGAGATTGACTACGCCTGCAAGGCCGAGCCATGCCGTTCGACTACTTCGAACTAACCCTATTCATTCTTTCCGCCTTCTCCATCATTTGGTTTTCCTCTGATTTAAATATCGAACACATATTTTCTCAGTCGTCTCGTGTTCAGCTTTGAAGATTGTGTGGTTATGGCCCAATGCTAGTACATACCTACCCATCATAATATATTTCTGTAATGACTTCATTTGTGATGTAAGGTCATCAAAGTATCTATCGTACTTTGTTATGACGAGACTTTAGTCTGCGCAACGTACTAACTGTTAGTCGTGACTTTGTAATAACTTAGGTTGAGTAGTTATGAGTTGACCTAAAATAAATAGACATATTTCAAACCAATAAAGCTCACTTCCATATTTTGTATAGACATCATATTTTTTTGTATTTTTGTACAGGCAACTCCCGCCTCACGGTGTGCTGTTACACTAGCCAGTGGTCCTGGCATTCAAATGCTGTTAACATCATCAGTAAAGATGACGTGATAGACACTACAAATGAAACACTGTACAGGACATGGTGAAGCTTAGGATTATATTTGCATCCTCGGTTTCGAAAGTAACCACTAACACTCTGTATTCAGTTTGTGACCAAACCACCAATACAGGCTGATTTACGATAAGACTCCTTATCTTCTAGGCAAAAATGTAGTGATTTAATGACTTTCTGAAGGTCCGGATTCAGAAAACATACCTAGACTTTCTAGATCAGATGTCTGTGAAATGGATATTTGAACCGATTATGTGTGTCTCTGAAAACATGGGTTCATTTCATAAGGAAGATGCAGGTAACTTATGAAAATCATTTAGTGTAACCCTTTAATTTAAATGGCGGCCCTCATTACTAAACGCGGGGACCACTTTACATTTATGCGATCCAGACGCGTACTGATGGGAGAGTTAGACATAGAAGTAAATCAAACCCAGTCTTTCTACTGATGGAGTACAGATAATAAAATAATGGGGTGAGGAAGGGACTAGTTAACTGAAAAAGCGAGCCCATAGGGCTTCTATATCTACATAAGACTTCATCTGCCAAAAGCGTCTCTCAAACACGTTCTAAATTGACCTCGCATACGGATATCATGCTTAACAAAATAGGTAGGCTACATTAAAGGAAATCTTGGACAGGTACACTGAAAAACCTGTTCTGAGTTATAGATAAATACTACCAGTGAATTTTGGCTGAATGTTACCGGTCAGTTTAATTCACTGTATTGCCTAAAATGTTCAGAACTTCCAATTAGTCACTGTTTGCGAATGTGGTGTTAAATTGGCGAAAATCATCAATCCACGCTAGCTGATTCCTTGTAATTACTAAGTTTTGTGGCTTTTGGAAGTCTTACCCCGTTTATCACAAAAAATATCAATGTTTCCAACTGAAATTATCTCGTTATCTTTCTCGAGAGTTCCGTCGACAGCAATCAAGTGGTGTGGGCGAAGAACGTCTTTACAAGTGGCACCTTTATAATCGATGTATACAAACTCAGCCAGACCATGAGTCGGGAATGGAGTTCGAAGATATATTTGGCAGGCTATCGATTTGTCTATTAGCGTTTTGTCTAAACTGGCTAGTAGTTGAAAGGGATGCGTAGCATGGCTTACCAACCCGTAGTTTGGTGTGAATGTCTGGCCAAGCGACGTTAGCTGCGGTGTGTCCATAAAGCTCAATAAGGTCAGCATCAATGTCGACGACCAACAAAACTATTTTTTTTCGGGGATTTATTTACTATTACATACCCAATGTACTTCGTGTCCTCATATATAAATTCACACATAAAAACGAAAGTTTACTGTTTAATTTACTTTTGATCCACCGATAATTTATAATCAGTGCCTAAAATCACTATTTGAAGTACTTGTTTTTCTATATCACAACCTAAGGTTTAAGAAGTTGCGCCTTCTTCAGATCTTAGATGGTATTAACATTTTCATTCTCACCTGCATCGGTTGTGGAACCTGACTGCTTACGAAATGTAGTTAAGTTGGCAAGAGAAAACAATTTACTTCTTTCGGAAGAAACTTGCTGGTGCTTGCTGGACTCATGTCTGTCGAAAATTCCGTTGAAGAAAACTTACCAACTTCTAGATGAATGTACGTTTGCCTGACTACATGTTTACCGTCATTTAGTATACAGTACTGAAGAGCTAAGGTTTCCAGAAGGTAGCGAGTTTGCAGTTGAGTCCATACGTGCCAGATCTGTTAACAAAGTAATATCACATTTTCGTATTCATAACTCCAGGGTGTTGTTTTCTATTATGTAAAATGGGTTGGGTGGCCACCTGTGTTCAATACATGGGAGCCAGAATCTAATCTTCATGGATGTGAGGATTTAATACAAAAATTTATTGAATCTTATGGTTCGACGATTGGAATGCTTCCGGTATGTTCTGTTGATAATTAATCATATATTCAGCCTGATAATCAACCTGATAGAAAATCACAGGTTCAGGAAGTGATGGATCGATTGAAGGAAGCTGTCAATACATCTGGGTCTCTACCATTATATCTACTTGAACGATTTTCTAGTCTCCAACCTGATCCTACTAATAGCCTTCGACCATACAAACACTTACCCACCATAAACATCGAAAAGCTTTTTTCATCACAAATATCACAAGGCATTATAGAATCTATTTCACTCAAGCGACCTCCCAGTGTCGCTGATCTCTTGCCAGTTTCTACCAAACGTATTCGTCTTAGTCGGAAAGATAAACAAGTGTTAGATTCTGCTCTAAGTGCTTTTCAACAAAAACTCAACACTGTATACTCAAATGAAGCACCAATCACTGTCGAAAATTCTGTAGATTCTGAATGTGAGTCCCTATTCTTACGCAAAAGTTTGTCTAGCAATGTATTTTAATGAATCATTATGAAGCTAGATTTCTGTTTCCATCAGACATTCGCACTTAAATGTCTTGTAAAAAAATGTATATTCACTCTATGGACAAGCTGAGATGCATTTATTCAGTGCTTGCTGCATTTATTAGTCATTAAGAAGTATTTACTAATTCTAGTTACTATGCTTTTAGTAACCTTAGGATTAGGATCAGTCAGCGAGGTCGAAATGACTATCTGATTTGCTAGTGAATAAACTGCTTAGAATATCTTTCATATTAAACGAGTGAGGCCGGTAAATTAAGCGTACAGAATAACGCTGCAAGCATACTATGGTCGCCTGAACTTCCATGGTAAGGTGGTCACCACAACAGCTTTAATTCTCACACATGCGATTGGTACAGACTGGTTCTGAAACATTTTGTTCTTAGTATATGAAATACAACCCAAATATCCTTTTAATCTTACTCAATGGATCTATAAGACTACATTTCATTAGCATAATCAGATAGTGTCGTTGAAATGCTCCCAGTCAACAAGATAGTGTTCAGGTAAGTTATTATTTAATTAACCTGACGAGGGGTTAATTACCTATAGGAGCACGTTTACAAAGAAATCAAAGAAAATCGGTGAACAGTGAGTCGAGTAGTCCTGACGTACACCTAAAGTTATCAATCCCGATGACAATTCTCTATAAGCTCTGATTTGACCATCGGTATTCAAGTAAAGTCCTTACAGGGTTGGTGTATTTTGGCAGGCTTTTTGATTCCCGACACTACCACAGGATCTCTCGATCAACAGAGTCAAATAATAGCTTAAGGTCAAGGAATATAACTGAGGTCAGATGTCAGAAAGTATGTCTATATTCCAAAACCTGACGATCAATATCTCATTAAAACCTAGTTAAAGTAGTTGATCTTCTGTAGCTTCGTTTAGCATTTTGCGTTTTAGAATTGTTTGTCCATATAAGCAACAATGCTAGCGAATTAAAATAAGTGAGGGTAGTTAACTAGTGATGTGAGCAGTTGTGACTTCGAGTTGATAATAGTCTTTGATATGGATTATTACTTTTTCGGCAGACTACCTCTAGCAATCAAACACATGACAACGTTAGCTTATTAGAGTACTAATTGTCGGTTTTTGTTGAACATTTTATAGGTATCTCATAAATACAGTCAGTCAGTCATTCAGCTACAACATGGGACCAGGCACATCTAAGCATCGGTCCAAGTTGCCATACCTCGTTAGCACAACAAGTTAAATACAGAATTCATAGAAGTAGTTAATTCAATGGTGATAATATATAAAATATATATAATATATAAAAGAAAGACTGCATATAAGGATATGGTACAGGAAGAAAGAATTAGTTGGCAGAAAGAAAGATATGAAGCAATTTTAATCTCACGGTTTAAGGGAAGACAGAGTGTATACACCGATGCCATCGTGATCGATTCTGAACCGTTTAACCCAGTCTCCAACCATTGGTTACAATAGTGACGCGGACCCCGACCAAGTAGTCTGCATGTAACTGCATGGCTCAGACAAGAAGTTAGTGACTTCAAGCACTGATGCCACGTTTTGGTTTGACCGCCCCTAACTTTCTTCCAACCATTCCCCACACTAGTCAGCATTGCGCGTCGTGGTAATCGGTGTTTAGGCATACTCAACACGTGGCCCAACCATCTCAGTCGGTGAAGATTTACAACCTCATCAACTGATATACCATCATTCCCTAATACCCTGTGTCTAACCTCACTATTACCCAGTGGTCCCAGCAGATGTTGGCCATATTTCTAAGGCATATGTGGTCAAGTACTAGTAACTGACGAGTATTTTCTACAGTTAATAGCCGTTTCGCGGCCGTAAAGTAAAACAACGAATTACCGCGCAGTATACTCGTCCGTTGATTGATAGACGGATATCTCGCCTTCTCCATAGTTGACGTAAGTTGGAAGCCACTAGAAAGACATTTGTGACACATTTTCACGCCATGTAAGCCAATGTTTCAAGATGGTAACATGGCTTGAATTATCATCACTGGACACAAACACGTAGAATCCTCTGGAGATAATGATGATCAGGTATAAAACGTGGCCAAATATACTCAACCCACAGTGTCCGGGTTTCCCAAACATAGGTTAGGAGTGCTCTCACAAACACTTTGTAAACTTAATCTTTTACGGCCAGATTAACATCATGACGGCGCTAAAGATGGTTCATATTGGCTCAAGCTGCTCTGCCTTACACCATACGTTGATTGACCTCATCTGAAATGAAATCATCAACCCACACAACTACCTAGGTTCAAGGACGTTTCGACTATTTTTAAGAGCTCTATAAAGAGTGAGTATAAGCATCAGCTGCTGCCAGTCTTGTAAAAGTACTTTGCATTCGGGAGGTGTACGGCATATAAGATTTCTACGGATATTGATTGCTCTTATTACCAAACCTTTTCAAAGAACCCAGCCAGTTCCCTAATCGGAAGTTTGGCACCATTCTTACAAAAGGTTGAGGTTAACTCGTCTAGGTTTGATTGTTTGTGGCGCTTCAGAAGATGGATTCTCTTGCGGAGCTTTGTCTCATTAGATGTATCAGCCGTCACTGATCACGAAAGGAACTAAAGTGATTGATGTTGCTGGGTAGGGGCGAATGGGCTGGACTGTCTCTTGAAGAACTCTGTCCATCGTCCAAGATGTTGAGCGTTGTTGATTAGGGTCCTAATAGCTTCATAAATTGTTTCACTCACTCCAGACTTACTGATGTCTTTGGCTCGGGTGAATTGACAGCTCCCGACAGTTGTCTGATGAAACTCTTGCTTCCAACTCGCATGTTTCGACTACGAGGCCTCTCAATCCTTAAGAAAACTTTATACAATTACCTTGTGTAAGAGTTTATTTTTATTGCCACGCTCCTGATTAGCTGGAGTTGACTGACGCTCGTCAAGGGGTTGTAAGGAGACTGTAAAAAACCAAATCTTAGGAGCGAGATGTTTTGCGAAGCCACAAGCAACCTTAATCGGCATTTTCATGGTATCATGCAAATGCAGACAGTGCTCATATATACTTCTCGGTGGGTTGATAGCTAGCCTTAAATCTAGTTTCGTTTGATATTGGGTTACGGCTGATGGTGTAGCCAATTTGCTTACACCAATTCATATAAGACGAAAAGTTTATGGGCTACTAAAACATAAGATTGATGCAAACCAAGTGATGTTCAAAGTCCGCACAGTTATTTCAAAAGAAGTGAGTCTTATATATGATTACACCAATAGTAGCTGATCTCCACGTAGTCGACTTAAGTTCGGGCTTAAGTTGCTGAGGAAGGACTCAATGTAGTACATTGGTGATGACTGTACCGATAGTTTGTCTGCACAATACGTCAGGAGATGGTCACCACTATCTAGCCAACGTGACCCCAAAGATTATTCAGGCGAATTTCCTATGTTCCTAAATGCCTGACTTGTACATTAAAGTTTCTGGTTAGCACTATAATAATGTGCTTTCTTGAAGGGGCCAGCAAACTGTTGGTAGAACTCATCCTTCGTTGCATCTAAGCTGTAATCTATCAGAACGTAAGGGGAAATGAAGAAGAGACATCGTTTCCCATTATGATTTTACCTCACTTTGATAAATCTCTAATCTGGTGGCGCATAAATGACTGGTGATTGGGATTCGATCGATTAGCACCACCCTTGCTCTGGAGCTTAGAGGGACACCAACGCCAGCTTATCCGAACGAAAATGGCACAGGATCTCCAGATAACCTCACATGAAACAAGTTTTTCAAATCGACAGGTAGAGCATCACATTTGTACTACTTCACTGGAGTCTTGAATCCGGACTTCACGTACAACGAGTTGCTGTCAAGTAGAGAGATTTACTGATAAATAAACTCCTAGGAGTTTAAGTAGATCTTAGATTCCCTTCAATCGATATTCTTACAGAAAATACCTTAGCTCAACAACAGAATCGATCTTGACGAGAGACTAAACGTCTATGGTAAACATATGATCAGAGTAGTACTAGATCGTTTCCCAAATTTTACATTTTGCAACGATCTCTTTTTTCAAAATTAGTAGTTTATCTATTCAAAGCAAAAGTCAGTGAGATGTAGTTGTAGTACACTCACATAGTGTTTCTGACTATCACCTAACGGAACTTCAAATAAATTAGTAGGACTTTTTAACTGTGACTTTATGAAATCACATGCTTGCCCCTAAATGCCCTGGTATGGGCGAGAGTGGGGTGGGCCCGCCTTCTCTCTCTAAATGCTCTCACATGGCCACGCGTATACAGCCTCTGTCAGGGAAGTCCTACTCACTACCTTCTCGTGGCGGGGGTGTCGTTTACGAAAATGAGAGGACGAAAAGCGAATGTCCGGCGCTTTAACCGGATTCCAAACCAATGGTGCACATGGGCTCAAGTATCCTGAGGGAACAAATGGCGTATGAACCAATCGTTGGTCACTGGCTTCCATGGGACTGCATCTTCTTACGATGCCCCACTGCTTTGTGGATCAGACCTTCAGGTCGAAGGCTCGGGGTGTGGCCCCCTAAGAAAACCACCTGCTTCGGTTTGGACACCCGGACAGTATCACAGCCTACACACATTTCGAATGAGGTTTGTGTGGCGCATATGTATTTGGTGCCTCATTGTACCAATATCTGTGTTAAAATAAATAATAAATAAATCACGTTTACTGTAGTTTTGAATATGTATTTGTTTGGAGTTGGGAACCCACTAATCATACTGTTGGTACAAAAGATCCAGTCATTTTTGTAGAAGATAATACATATTGGACTTTTTGTAGGTTAGGTTTATCTAACCATATTCAGTGCCTAACACTTTAGATTTATGACAAACATTATTTTAATGTTGTGTAACATTGTAATTAGATTGTTAATTATTTGTAACCAAAGCCGTCGTTATGCATATGACTCAATTTAAATATCTAGGAATCCTTTAGACTTTAATTCTGATATCTAAAAATTATTTTCACTTCAGGCCCACCAGTTGAATTCCAGCCGATTCCAGATTATTTACCTGGACAAGATGTATTCTTACCAACCAAAGCTCCTATTGGATGTGAATGTACGATGGACAATTTGGATCAGTCAGAGCTAGCCAAAATTCGTAAAGCAGATGGAAGCAGTTCACCAGTTATATATCCTTGTTGGATCAATAAACGACGTAGTTGTTGTGCTGTTCGTGCTGGTGCAGTTCCACCCTATGACAAACGGAAAAGGCTCGTTGCCCCTCCTGGTCATCCTGTTTATGAATGTAACTCCTTGTGCGTTCACTTAACATTATTTATGTATATTCTATTTGATTTTTAACCAATATTCATAGTTGATGAAAATTTATTTACCGATTACGATTTACTATTCATGGATTTAGGATTATGATAATCCCTTTGTCATTATTTGAAATATCAATAACTTATTTCATCTGTTTATTTCGGTTACCTTTATACAATTAGTTTAAAAACTTGGGAGTGTGTTGTTTTATCTCACTATCCTTAACTTTCATGTACACTTTTCTTGTCACTAAAAAGACTTTTTGACTGTTGATATATTTTTTAATTTATCAGGTAGATTTATTACCAGAAGACTTAAAAAACGACATACATGTTTTTGCTCTAATTCAGTTTGATTAACCCTAGCAAAAATTGTTAATAATTGGAGCTACTAAATGATCAAAACATTTTTCTAAAGAACTAATGTAGTAGGTTTTAAGAAAATATTAAATTATAATCAAACTTAATCTACATTGGACTCAATCAAAAGTGTAAACATTGTTTGGTTGACAACAAGCGTTTTTACATTTTATAATTGATTGCTTCTAATTAGAATATATATGTCCCATAGATTTTTTTATTCAATCACTAAAATTAGTGACATGATACTTTATATTTAGTAGTACGATTTTTGATCGAGAATTATGTTTGTTTTTTAAGGTATTCATCTTGTTCAAATGGCTAATAAATTTTAAATTTATTCATTAACAGTGTTTCCTTTATTTATTTCATCAGATTTTATTCCAAATAGGTATCTAGAAAATAAATTTATGTAGCCCACTATTTAGTGTTTTATAGGTTCATTGATAAATAACACTAATGTAATTTGTTATTGAACGTTGTTGTTAGTCTAGACGCTTTCCCTATATATTATACAATTTCCCCCGAGTATTATGAACTGTAAATAAGCGTTTAATCCACCATCGTTACAAATTGTTTCTTAGAAATGATTGGGTTTAGATTATTGTGTTTTGGTCACTTAATATCTAGACTTTCTTAACTTATCAAAGTATGCTATTAACTACACTTCTGTACAGATGAATTGTAATAATCGTGTATGTAAAGTAAATTGACATAACGGAATTTAAACTCAGTTCAGCAGTTAAAAGTTAAGTATATCCATTACAAAACGATATTCTATGCATATTCAAATGGGTTCTAAATATTTCACAACCCTAAAACCTAGTTACTGGGTCACTAAAATCGTGTATATGAAATTTTCGAGTTTTGTTGATGTAGTCTATTCACTTTTATTTTTTAATTCATTTACCAAGTACGGACTTGTGTACTTGGCTTCGAGCCATACCCCAAGTATTAGGGCTTTTGATACTATCCGTTTTCCGGAACCGGAGTAGCGGAGCGGGGTTCGAATCTGCTACTTAGTGACTGAGAATCAAATGACTGAACCACTGCCCCATCAATTTTACTCTTTTCAACCACATGAGCGATCTTGACTCTTACTGTTGTATATAGTAGAGTTATCAACTGGAAAGGGATGATATCATTGTTACTGAGTTTCTTATCACTGATTTCTGAGGACCTGTTCCTGTTCCTTTTAAAGTGTCCTTATTTGCTAATCACTAACTCATTATAAACGTTTTAGTAATTTTATGCAATTCCTTTAAATTTTAGATGTCCATGCGATTCGTCTTGTCCATTTCGTGTTGTTCAACTTGGACGGAAAGTTCCTTTGTGTGTCTTCCGTACACGTGACCGAGGATGGGGCGTTAAAACGGTGGTCCCCATTAGTAAAGGGACATTTGTCGTTGAATACTTAGGAGAGGTAAGCAACATTCTTAGATTTTAAAGAGTTTGGTGCTTTAAATTAATTCGTTGAGTAAAGTCATGTATACGTAACCCTCATCTTACTGATATATATTTTTCCTTATCATCGACTAACCAGTAGTCTGTTTTTGTGAACTGTTTCGTCACTAAATTAGTCTGATTTTATTGTGACAGATACACAGAAAGTCTACAATAAAGCCATCCCAGTGTATAACTTGCAGTTATTTCGCCAATGCTTCAAATCTATGTTTCTTCATTCGGTTTGAGAGACGTGGTACAACTAACTGCTAGCTGTAGTAATTTAAGTTAGGCTTGTGGATACAAATCAACCAGTCAGTCAACCTCGTACATATGTACATCTGCTAAAGTTCTCATACCCTGTTAGCATAGACAGATTAAGTTGTCTGACCAAATCCTAGAATACTAAAAGCAGTACAAGTATCAGTGGTGATTGGAAATATTCAATGTCGAAAATACGACTTAAGAAAATAAAATTAGTGAAATAAAACGCTATAAATGTTATAAGGAATTAAAGAAATCAGAATTTCAGGGAAGACGGAGAACGGATGCTTTTGCGACATTGCAAATGATTTTGAGCCATGTCATTCAAAGTCTAACCATTGGTTACGGTAGTCATGCGGACCCCAACCAAGTAGTCTATACCTATTAACATGGCTCAGTTCACTTATCTGTGACTTCGTGGACTGATGCCATATCTTGGTTTCCTCGCCTCTACCCTTCTTCTAGCCCACTCATACACCAAAGAACATCGCCCGTCAGTGTAGGTGATGGTTTGGCATACATAATACATGTCCCAACCACCTTCAGTTGAGGAAGATTTACTACCTCACCAATTGACTTGTCATCCTTGCTTAACACCTTATTCCTAACCCAGACACCGCTTATTCCATGGTCCCAAAATGCAAGGGCAATGCTTCGAAGACACCTATAACAGAATACCAGTAGTTAGACGACGAAGTGTTATGGAGGCTAATATTTTGGACACTATATTTGTTAAACTTATTCCTCCGTGATTGTTACAATAGGATTTTTGTCCTTTCTTATAAATTGGAACAATCAGCGATCAAGATCAGTCAGATTGAACTACGTCCAGATCCCAGATTCTAGTTAAGATTTCATCTGGTCTAACTGTTAGAACTGGACCACCATCCCTAAAATTCTCAGGGCTTAGTCCATCAGACCCTGCTGTTATCCTTCGCCTTAGATTACGTATGGCTTTTTCAACCTGACTAAGAGTTGGTGGAGATAGTGAGTAAATAACGTATATCTGAAAACCAGTCGTACTGTGTCCTTAAAGTGTTCTGTCCATTAGTGCAATGTCCTGGATTGGGAGTGAATAACAGTCTCATCTTTCTCCAAGATATTCCCACTAACAGCTGTATTTTTGGTGCCTGCATCCTTGGTAAGTCTAAACAGTTGTCTACTGTTACCTATTACTGCTGCATTTTCCATGTATTCTGCTTTCACTATCCACCACCGCTCACGATCATTATGTAGGCTTTCTGTAGTCCTACGGTTAAGCTGCCTCCACTTCTCAATGTGTTCTGAGCCAAACGGGGTGAATTTCGGAGCATTTATCAGTTTTGTGGACGCCTCTGAAAACCACTGGTTCTTCCCAACCTTTTGGTTCATGTTACTAGTAGATATCACTGCTGTTTCCGCAGCATTTTGGATATCATATGAAGCTGCCTTGGGGTGGATATCATTTTCACGATTGACTGGCTCCCTCTCCAGCTGTTCCTGAAATATATTAACTTTTTCATCATTAGGTTGTGCTCTAAGTAGTTTCCTTCTCGTGGCTTTTTCACGTCCAACAAGAAGCGGACCAATGCGTGCTCGAACTGGAGCATGATCTGGGTCTAAACATGCTCCAGAATGGGCGATAATCTTCTGCCAAGCCTCTCCGGCGATGGCTGACAGCAATGTGGTTTATTTGGATCCGTTGTCGGGCGGACTCTGAAGGTCATTACTAAGATGTGAGGGGGGGATTCGATCGTCAACAAGGTGATCTCGGGTGCCGTTAGGAGTATGAAGGCGGTTGTCACTTCCCGGTTTCGCACACTGTGGAAGTATATTTCTTCTTAGGGGACCTGAAAAATAGATGAATTAGTGGTGGCCTTGACAACTTGGGAGTGTATACCCCAGAGCCCAAGGATCAAATGATTGAGACCGGTTGCTGATTGCCTTTTTATGGAAAGGCTTTAATTTGTTAGCTCTGCACTTTAAATATCCTTGCCGCCGGAGACGGAAATCCGTGGGGTAAGGTGAGGTGTGATATTTCTAAAGTCGACTTTTTCTAACCTCTTCCGTTGTGAGAAAGCAGGGTCGCTCCAGATGCTAGTTGTTCGAGGCGAACACCTTACTGTTGCCACATCCATTTGCAGTCATCATACACCTTCTTTCTCGGATTTTAATCTGCTGCTTCTGGTCTTATCGTTCTCGAGCCGACCTTTAGTTTTAGGAAATTGAGTATGTCCCAACATTTCAGAATAAAACAGTTGTCATTCTTACTCTGGAAATTCTCGATGTAGTGTATACAAATATTAGGAAGTAGGGCTACTGTCGAATAATTTTAACTATTGGGTCCTGTTATACTCCGCGAACTGTGTGAAATCTATGAAAGGCTGGCTTGCAAATTTTTATGTGGTTTTTGTTTAAATCGTTGATATATTAATTACGTCTTCACTTAATGAAAAATCCCAGATACCTCTGCAAGGCGTAGGAGCATATTCCCGGAATATTTATGTTGAACGGTTAGATAAAGTGAACAACGTTTATTTGGGCAGCTATTTCGGTGCTAATGGTGACTCGGGTGATGAGACCAATTTGCGCGTAATCAAACTCAGCGTGGTTTATTCCAGTCTGATCCAACCCTGACCCCGTCATGATGTTAATCTGACTGTAAAAGCCCGGGTTTACAGCGTTTCTATGGGACCATTCTTATTTTGTGCCTGCTAAACCTGGAACCTTCGATCTGAGGATGTTTGGCGACATTTTATGTTTGACCGTCATTGTCTCCAAAAGACTATTTACATCCATTTAGTTTGAACGTCTTGGCTTCTGCGATTGCTTCCCACTGGTATGAAATGAAAGGTGAAGACAGCCAGTGTATCAATGGGCCTCAACATACACAAAGTAAATAGAAAGATCCTCAAATACAACACGGAGAATACCAACCCAATCACACTTGGTGGAGAAGCTCTTGAGGATGTGGGATCTTTCACGTACTTCGTCACCATCTTCGACGATTGTTAAGTTAAGGATCGCGCTCCTACAGTTGTAGAACACATGGAACTCAAAACAACTGTTAACCAACATCAAAGGATCTTCATTACAACCATCAAGACATTTCTACTGTACGGGGCTGGAACTTCCAGAGCTACCACAACCATCATCAGAAAAGTTCGAGTATTTCTACACAATTGTCTACGCAATATACTCAATGTCCGTCGGTCGGATACCATCAGCAACATTTTTACTGTGGGAGAGAACGAATTTGCTCCCATCTGTTGAGGAAATTAGGAAAAGACGATGGAGGTGGATAGTTCATAGATTGCGGAAATCACCAAACTGCATCACGAGGCAAGCCCTAACTTGGAATTCTGAAGGGAAACGGAAAAGTGGAAGTCCAATGAACAAACTGCATCGAGAATTAGAAGCGTACTTGAAAAGGACGATTAGCAACTGGAGACAGCTTAGAAGGATTGTTTGGGACAGAGTTGGGTGGATAATGCTGGTGGGCGACCTATGCTGTTCCACGAGGGGCAACAGGCTTAAGTTGGTTAGTAAGGTATGAGATGAAGCAATATGAAACAATCTTAATACAAAGATCTCTTTTCAAGTAGATGTAGATTTGTATACGTGTATTCTGGGTGGAAAGGATTAGTTTCTGTAGTGATAACACGTCAACAATATCTTGTTGTGGCAATGTGTATTTGGGTGCAGTAACTATAGTTCAATTGGCGCCACGATCTTAAAGCACTGAATTCGTCGGTTTGGCCATCCTAGCGATTTCTACGCTGGACTTTATCTGCTGACGTTGTGATTGAACAGAAAAAGAAGATAGGCTGTCAGTTTGTGATTTGATGCTCGAGTGTAGAAGCTGTTTAGGGATAACGTCTGTCGTTGCACTACGACTCCAGTTAGGGTCCTAGGGATTGTGCAACTCAGATGTAGCTCAAAATGCAGGCCGTTGGGGGTCCTACTCCTAATTAGTTTTTTGGCGTCCCATTGCGGCACTGTTTATATGCCTAAATGAATAATCATTTATCAGTAATTGGTCGTAAAATTTTCAAACATGGTTGTTAAAAAGCTTTAGATGTGTTAGTCTGCCATACACCGAATAAATGTATGACACTTCTGTGACTAGAACTCATCTCGTTTAGGATATTTGCTGTAATTATCTTTACAGAGGTATTATCATTAATGGACATGTTGCTTAATACGTCAGAATTATGCAAGCAATTATGTCGAAATACGTTAGATAAAATGATTCTTTTGATCTCATATTGTTGATCGAATTCTCTCAATGAAGGAACTGTGTTACAACTTATTTGTTTATCGTCTATTATAAAGGATTTTGTGAATATCTCTATTTATGATAAATTTCACCACTGCTATTCGTTTGTGTTTCCGTACGATTAATAATCACGTATGAGCTATTATTTAATGACTTATTGTTCATTTTTACAGATTCTTAATTTTGATGAAGCAGAAAAACGAGGAATAATATACGACAAACAGACTATGACATATCTTTTCGATTTGGATTTCGAAGGTGATGCTTATTACACTGTAGATGCTTCTCAGATGGGAAATATATCACATTTTATTAATCATTCGGTAAGTGTTTTGTTTACAAGAAGGTAATTATTACGATATTTCTTGGCATTATTTTTCTATTTGAAGTCTTACGCGCGTGTGATAAATCGTTAAACATTGGGTTGCTTAGTTGTTTTGTAATATAATCCTACTACATTCCTAACTTGTCACTGTCTGTTCACTATCACCTCTTGAATTCCGTCTTTTAGGAGTATCATAAGAACTTAAAACACCGCATATATATGCATAGGTTTAATTTGTTAAACTACATCACAACGAGATAAAGTCATCACCATAGTAGTAGCATTATCAACGATTATTAAAAGGACCAGCATAGGGAATGTAGTTCAAAAAGAAAGGGTAAATTTGTGTAATAGGAATTCTAAAATAATTTTCAGACCTAAGATTTAGAGGTAGACAAAGAAAGAATGAATCTCCCCCATTGAGATAGATTTTAATGCATATTGAACAATGTATCCAACCATTGATCAGTATAATCGTGAGAAACTCAACCAATTAATCCTCATCTACTGATATCTCTCAGCCTAGGTGTTGTCTTGTTATTTGGGGTTCAGTATGACCTACGATGTTATGGTTTTAGGGACGGAAACAATTGAGCTTCTCTTATACGATCGGCTTTCTTCGGGATTAACAACAGTCAATTATACTTAACACATAAAACCTGAAGGGCTAAGACAGGAAGAAATCGGAACTGCAGGTAACTTGATTTTTGTGGTAGAGCAAGCGACTCAAAAGGAATCGGTACAAAAGTTGTTATCATAGTAGCAAAATGTGACCTTCGAGCATGTAGTAATTTAGCGAACCATCAATGACAACCAATCAAAGGGTAAGCGTCACGACGAAAATCGAATCGGTAGAAAGTATGCGAGTGGTTATCGTTCCTGAAGAGATCTTAGCCCTTCTAAGAAAATCTGACCATTCTTGCGACCGCCTTAGCACTAAGTCACTGTGTGGAGTAATGCCATGTTTTTGTTTGGTTACCATTGGGTTTCTTCTTACATATCCGGTACACCACCCAACGCCACTCGTCGGATAAGTAGCGAATGGCTACTAATATCCAAAATACAGACGATAACGATTAATAGACTTCCTATCTTTGATGAGTACTCTGTGTTTGACATCGACATTTCTCACTTGGTCTTTTCATTTATAGTACGCAAAAGATGAGTTAGTAAATCCTCAGCGTGGAGCCTGGCACACATATCTGTTGATCCAGGTTGCCATACCAAATTAAAACGAAGAGACAAAGTTAATAAGATGTATAGCAAAAGAATTCCAGATAAAGTAATAGCGATGACGATGAAAAGGCCTAAGGGCTGATAGTAGAATTCGAAAAGATAAAGTGAAGGTTATATGAAGGAATGTTGAATTTCAAGATCGAAGTAAAAATAAAAAAGTAAATGCATCTGCACCATTGTGAGTGATTTTGAGCCATATTATCCAAAGCCTCCAACTACCAGTCTAGGTTATCGCGGGACTCAAAACAGGTGGTCTGTACGCGTACTTCCTTAATCTCAGGAAATATTTTAGTTAGGCGTCAGTAGGCATGCGCTTACTTACTTACGCCTCTTACTCCTCGTGAAGGAGCATAGGCCGCTCACCAGCATTCTCCATCCAACCCTGTCCTGAGCAATCCTTTCCAGCTCCTTCCAGTTCTTATTCATCCTTTTCATATCTGCTTCTATTATCCGACGTAATGTGTTCATTGGCATTCCTCTTTTCCACTTCCCTTCAGGATTCCAAGTTAGGGCTTGCCTCGTGATGCAGTCTGATGATTTGCGTAATGTATGTCCTATCCATTTCCATCGTCTTTTCCTAATTTCTTCAGCTGGAAGTTGGTTTGTTCTCTCCCAAAGAAGACTATTGCTGATGGTATCCGGCCAATGGATGTTGAGTATCTTGCGTAGACAGATACTTACAAATACTTGTACTTTCTTGATTGTGGTTGTTGTAGTTCTCCAAGTTTCAGCTCCGTACAATAGAACTGCCTTCTTATTGAAGATTCTGACTTTGATATTGGTTGGCAGTTGTTTTGAGTTCCACATGTTCTTCAGCTGTAGGAATCCTGTCCTTGCTTTGCCAATCCTCGCCTTTACGTCTGCATCTGAGCCTCCTTGTTCATCGATGATGCTTCCTAGGTATGTGAAGGACTCTACATCTTCCAGAGTTTCGCCATCAAGAGTGATTGGATGCAGAGACTGCTGCTACATTGGCTGTCTTCATCTGCATCTGTTCGTGTGTTCGCAATAGGAGGGCTAGGTCATCTGCGAAGTCCAAATCGTCTAAATGGTTCTGAGATGTCCATTGTATTCCGTGTTTTCCCTCAGACGTTGAGGTCTTCATAATCCATTCGACCACCAGAAGCAAGAGGAAGGGAGAGGGTAGACAGCCTTGTCTGACTCCGGTCCTTACATGGAATGCATCTGTCAGCTTTCCTCCATGCACTACTGTGCACTGTAGTCCGTCGTATGAGTTCCGGATAATGATGACAATCTTCTCAGGAACTCCGTAGTGTCGAAGAAGTTTCCATAACGTTCTCCTATCTACACTGTCAAATGCCTTTTCATAATCAATGAAGTTGATGTATAGTGACGAGTTCCACTCAACTGATTGTTCGACGATGATCCGTAGTGTTGCAATTTGGCCTGTGCACGACCGATGCTTACGGAATCCAGCTTGTTGATCTCGAAGTTCGGCGTCTACTGCATCCTTCATTCGGTTCAGCAAAACCCTGTTAGAGACTTTCTCTGGTATTGACAGTAGTGTGATGCCTCTGTAGTTTTCACATTTGCTCGAATCTCCTTTCTTTCAAATCTTGATGAGGTGTCCTTCTTTCCAGTCCATCAGCACTTGTTCCTCCTCCCTAATCTTTCTGAATAGAAGATAAAGCATGCTTGTGGTTGTTTCGATGTCTGACTTCAGTGCTTCAGCTGGTATGTTGTGGGATCCTGCTGATTTCCCGTTCTTGATTTGTCTGACGGCCATTCTGATTTCTTCCGTCGTTGGTGGGTTGACATCTATAGGAAGAACTGTGTGTGCTGCTTCGATGTCCGGTAGATTCATTGTAGCTGGCCTATTCAGGAGTTCCTCGAAGTATTCTACCCATCTGTTCCACTGTTGTTGAATTTCATTGATTGGCCTGCCTTCTTTGTCCTTGACCGGCCTCTCTGGTTTACTGTATTTCCCTGATAGTTTCTTCGTTGTATCGTAAAGTTGCTTCATATTTCCTTCCCTTGCAGCTTTTTCTGCCATCGTTGCTAGTTCTTCCACGTATTTCTTCTTGTCGGCCCTAATGCTTTTCTTCACTTGCTTGTTTGTTTCTATGTATTCAGTTTGTGCTTGGACTTTCTCTGCTCGTGTTCGGCTGTTGTTTATTGCCGCCTTCTTGTTCTTCCTTTCTTTGATCTTGTCCAGTGTTTCTTTAGAGATCCACTCCTTATGGTGGTGTTTCTTTAGGCCCAGAACCTCTTGACACGTTGAAGTCAATGCTTCTTTGATACCTTTCCAGTTGTCTTTCATAGTAGTTTCTTCTTTCAGTAGATCTTGTAAGGCTTGGAACCTGTTGTTGAGAGCTATCTTGAATTCACTAAGTTTGTCAGTATCTCGAAGGAAGGCTGTATTGAACCTTTGTAGTGCTGTTTGTCCAGTTGTCCAGTTCTTCTTTAGCTTCAGTTTTAAATTGGCCACAGCTAGGTGATGATCTGAAGATATGTCAGCTCCTCTCCTGGTTCTCACATCTTCCATTGTCCTTCGGAATTTTTTATTGATGCAAATATGATCTATCTGGTTCTCTGTAGTGTGGTCCGATGAGATCCATGTAGCCTTGTGTATACGCTTGTGTGGAAATATTGTGCCTCCTATGACCAATTTGTTGAATGCACACAAATTTGCAAATCTTTCTCCATTTTCGTTTCTTTCTCCCAGTCCATGTCGTCCCATAATATCTTCATATCCAGTGTTGTCTATTCCGACTTTGGCATTTAGATCTCCCATTAGAATGGTGAGGTCCTTTCTTGGGCATTTCTCTATCACTGACTGCAGCCGCTCGTAGAATTGATCTTTAATGTCGTCGTTGCTATCATTGGTGGGTGCATAACATTGGATAATATTCATTAAGATCCCCTCCTTTGTTTTGAATGATGCTTTGATGATTCTGGATCCGTGAGATTCCCATCCTACAAGTGCATTTCGTGCTACTTTGGACAGCATAAGAGCGACTCCCTGAGTGTGTAGAGCATTGTCCCCTTGGTGACCGGTGTATAGCAGCATCTCTCCCGTAGCTAGCCTTTTCTGTCCAGCTTGGGTCCAGTGGGTTTCGCTGATTCCCAGTACTGCTAAGTTGTATCTCCTCATTTCCATTGATATTTGACTGGTCTTCCCGGTTTCCCACATTGTTCGAACGTTCCATGTACCTATAAAAATTTTTGCTCTGGTTGTTAGAAGGGGCATCGGCCTCGTGGCTTCCGAAGGAGCTCGGCTTTCACCATGAAGCGTCATAATTCTTCTAAATGAAGACCTTCTAACTCCCAGAGCAGAGTTAAAATAGTTTGGATTATTTTTTCTGGTAAGCGTTTTTTTAGCGAGTTAGTTTTCTACGGGATGGGGACGCTAACCCCATGCCCAACTCTCCTCCTTTACCCTGGCTTGGGACCGGCAGTAACTCTAGAAGAGCTACAGGCGGAGTTAGCAGGCATGTAGAGCTCCTTTAATTTGATGAAGAGTAAATTTCTGACCGATGCATCCTCTTCTAGGCCCGAAACCAGACTGGTTTTCCGAAGTTTGTTGTTTACGATCCGTAGTTAAAGACTGACTATCAAGGCTAATATTTTAGATACTATATTATTCAAACTGATTTCTGTGGTTGTCGCTAGGTTTTTGGTACTCATATACCAGAACGATCAGTGATCGTAACGAGGTGGATTGGATCATGTCCAGTTCTCAAACTCTAGCCAGTATCTCGATAAATGTACTTATTAAAACTAGGCCACCATCCTTAAAGGTCTTCGGTGGTAACTCGGTCTAGCTGACCTTTATATCAGATTATTTATGATCTTTTCAAGGTGGTTAAGAGTTGATGACTTATTTACATCTCCTATTCGGTTTGTTTGGAACTCTTCGTTTCAATTGTCTTCAACAAGTGTACATCAAAGTCCCATATTTCTTGGAGTTAGTTTCACAAACACTCAACGTTGTAATAACTGCTCGTTTGATAAGTTCAGTTAGTTATTTATGGTTATCGATCACTACTCCTTTTAAGCATAGATAGATAAATATGCTACGATATAGCATAAGTTGGTTATGTACAAATCCACAGAACGAACCATTGAATAGTAGAAAGATACTATATAAATTAAAAGTAAGTAATTTTGCGTACAGTTAATCGCTACATTTTGACCCTATTGCCCTGAACCATAACATAATTAATTATCCAAGTCAAAAAACGAAATACCAACTTGGCTACACATCACTTATCTCTGAATAGCTACATGATAACAAAGTGCTGATTATTTAACGGAAAATAAATTGAACGTATAAATAATCTATTACAACCAGTTCTGATTTGTTTCAGATTCATTCTTCTGACATTTTTGCGTTCTCTTAAATCGTAGACATGTAATAAGCAGTTTGCTTTACGCACCTTATACTAAAGTACCATGGTGTCTTTGTCTTATTGCAATGCGAAGTTTAACACAACTCAGTTGTTAGCTGAACTAAGCAACTGAAATAAATGTGAAACAATTTGTGGGATGTCAGAACTTCGTAGGTATTTACGATTGAGCTAAAAGCGATTCGACTGTGAACAAGATTATCTCAAGCACTGTGTATGAATAAGAGCAGTTGTCGCTTCGCGGCTGACCATGCCATGGTAAGATATTTCTTCTCAAGTGACCTAAAAAAGAAACGTAGTAAGTCTTAGATTCCATTGCTAGCCACTATCCATCTTTGCTTAGTAGTAAAGAATAGTCTTAAGAATCTGAGAACATGATTACAGGGCTAAAGGGGAAACTGCTTGATACCTGTCTGCTATGTTTGAAGAGATTATGAGATCACCTAAATCTACCAACAGATCGAAGACTTCGCAACACGACCAATAAGCTAACCATTCTATGCGTCCCAACCCCGCTAACTAGAAAAAGTTTAGGTTCAGAAGAGGGAAAGTGTATTCCACAAGCAGCCAGATGCACGAACAACAACAACAAGCATAACTCAAGCGTATATATACAGCATAAAAATTTCCTTGGTAAACGTCACAAAAATAGCACAATGAAAGAGGCGACGTACCAGTGACATTAAGAGTTCTGCCAAGTGAGAATTACGATATGAAGGTGAAAACTCGAGTTTCTAAAATAAGATTACAAAAATAAACGTTTACCAAGTGAGTCCTGATTATCCAGTATCGCCAACACTGTCATACATATCCTTTTTGTGAGTAATGTTAAATTTGCTGGTCCCGTGCTTATACGGTCTTACCACCAGTGACAGCAATCTGTTAGGTGAGTCAAGGTGTACTATTTTTAGGCCCAACCTTATCTAACAGCTTCCCGTTATGGAAAGGCTGCACTGCTGCATAATTTGGTTGCCTGAAAGTGGCACCTTGCTGCCGTCACACTTGTGTGGTTGATAGTACGGTGTCCTCTTTGGGCCTCGAGTTTGGCTCCTTCAGACTTACCACAGTCCGACCAGCTGGCCTGTAATAGCCAAGCTAAGACTGTTGGAGAATGTGTTTCGGTTGTCGTCATTTGTTGCGATGCTTTTAACCCTCAAACGATGTCCAATTATTTATCCTGTTTATGCTACGTATGTTCAAAATTCTCAGAGTGTTGTTTGTATGAATGCTCCTCAGTGGGTAACAAACGCATCACGATTTTAAAGATATGTCCCCATGTAGTTTACTGCGAGGATCATTTGCAGCGCACTGCATAAAAATCATTCAGGAAATACGCATTTGTCTACCATTTTCGGCTACAGCATTTGTGTTAAACCTATTGGTACCACTTGGATTACTAGGCCGAAATAGGGGGGGGGGAGATTCGGACTTGCTACACATTGGTCGCATTTCATGAGGTATATAGTGTAGAATAGTTTTATATGGTGCTTTCCAGATAGTTTGATAATGTTCAATTTATTATGTTTGATACAAATTACTATTACCATTTGGTTTGCTCTCCCTTTTTTAGTGTGATCCCAATCTCACAGTTCGTTGTGTTTTTATTGAGTGTCTCAATACGAAGTTACCCCGTATTGCGCTTTACGCGTCTAGATTTATAAGGAAAGGTGAAGAACTTACATTCGACTACAATATGACTGGTAACTGAATCCTTTATGATTTTTATACATAAATGCGTATATGTTTCTTATAGTTATAATGTAAATCTACTAGTATTGAGCGTTTTGGATGGGATTAACAGAAAGCTTTCCAATCAAGTTTCTTGTTTTTTTATCATTAATGAACAATGGAAATTTGTCACTAAGAGTATATTTATGTTATTCTAACAATTTCAGGTGGTAAAATTAAACTAAATATATTTGCTCGAAGCTATTTGAATCGATTCCTTGAAGAGTTTAATATTAGAACTCTTGTATAAATATCTTATCCAACATTGCTTGTACATCTTGCAAATGTGACCCAAGTCTCGTTTTTGTTGATTTCTCTCATTTGAGGTTATTTCCTGGGTAGCTTAGTTACAAGTTTCCATTCCTTAGCACAAGTAATAAATAAAACAATAACTTTGTTTTGTTTCGAGACAAACTGTCGAATTGATATGTCATTGTATAACACTATAGGACTTTTTATTTTCAGGTGCTGTGGCTGCGGACACTAGTGCAGTTATAGATGGTGCCGGAGAGGCAGAAACTCCTTCAGAAACCCAGTCAGGGTCATCGAATAATGGTGGGAAGAGTCCGACCCCATCTTCTTCCTCAGTTGACGTAACTCCTGACACAAGCAGTGAGGTAAGTGGGTGTTTGCAAGTTAAGTCTGTAGATTTGTTCTAAAATATTTGCTTCTGTTTTGTATTTTCATCTGACATACTACTCCAACTCGACTATCTTCGTTCGACTAGATGGCTCTTATTCTCTGAAGAAGTGGCTTACGCTGAGTCACGAAACGTTAGAAAATCTAATTTTTTGACTCATTGGGATATTACAAATATATTATTTTTATTTATATATGGCCATTAGTTTGTATCTCTGTCTCATCCCAATTGCGTATGAAATAAATATGTAACAATGCAACTTTATCTTGAACCCGTTATTTTGCTCCAGTGTGAGACAGTTTATTGGAACTGCTTCTCTAGATAAAGTTATCTTTTTTTACAGAGGTTTTGAAGGTTGGGTATTGTAAACAACGTATATTTGCTGGACATGTAGGAATCGGTAAAACCAAACTGACCGAATTTTCTGAGGAGGTTAACTGTTCCCATTGCAGGTGATAATTTCATCATGCTTTATCTAGTTGCTCACTCCATCATTGTACCTGGTAATCAGTTAATTACCCATCATATCGTCAAATTCACGTTTTCGATGGCTCTTTAGTAAATTCAGAACTCATAGTTTCAGCCAATCACAGTCACTTTTAAAGTTTGTAGTTTGATTGGCTAATTGGTTTCTCTCTCTCACCTGCCCATGTATGACAGACTTTAAATGGATTAGTCATATCAGCCCTATGAATGAGTCATGCCCAAAGGTGGAGGCGCAATTTAAAAGGTCTGATCTGTGGATGGATAACACACAGATCGTGAATGAGTCTTGAAAAAGTTAATCAGTAATCGGGATTTGAACCGCTTCGACATCATTTAAGGTTATGGTTGTATGGGATAGACTTTTAATAACTTTTAGCAAATAACTCCAACAGATTGAATTTAAACAAATAAATTCTTGTAGTTCTCTGTGTAAAGTTTCATTTTATAAGTAAAGTTTTGGTGCCAGGATCAGCAGATCTTCGCGAATACCATATTACACTTACTGATGGTAGTCTGGATTTCTAGTTCAAGTCAAATCTTATTGTGTTTCGATAATTTGGCAATATCTGGAGTATTCAAAGTCCTACGACATGTTTGTATGGATTATTACAAATATGAAGGTGGGGTTTTAAATTATTATCCAGTGTTCTATTGAACATGGATTTAATATACGCCTCTTTTTCCTTGTTGGCCATATTTGTGTTGTTACGTTGAAAGGTGCTTTAGGTTTATGGGACCAGTTAACTATACCATAGGATTCTATTCTGATTTATTGCTATTAAAGCTGAACAATATCCAGCAATGGAACCTAGTAAAGCACCCTACCCATCCTATTTGAGACTCATTGGGTCACTGTATCTCCGTTCTAGTGTTGATTTTCAGAATGAAACTCAAGCCCACTACTTTTTGCTTTAAGCACTACCGCGTTATCTTCTGACCTACTGAGTCCAGATATCTGGTAGCTTGTGCAACATGCACTGTTATTATTTGGAAGGGTTTTTCCCCCATTATTGATGCTAAGAACTAGATATACGTCCTGAAAAGTTCCACATAGGATGGAACGCTCATTCGGTTATTCACTGCTAGCCATTATTCAAATCTACCATTTAGATTCAGTTTACATTGTTTACTTTGAAAATAAAAATTCGTTTCCTACAAAGTAACACTATCATACCACTAATTTCAAAATGCTTCCACTTTGTTTACCTATTGCAGGTGTCTTTCGATAGCAAATCTCTGGGATCTAAAGTAAGAAATTTTTATTTGATTAATCTGGAATGATTTATTATTTTAAAAAAATATTATTTATGTCAGTTTTTTGACAGGTTTGTGTCAATAATTCACATATACAAATCTCTTTCAACAATTCACCATTCAGCACAATATAAGCGTCATTATTACCAGTACTATTGTTCATACCGGTATTATTACTTTACGTTCCAAACACTACCTATTGAAAGGGTGTTTTAAAACGATCAGTAGTCTTTTTATTATGAATGTTTTGGCTTATGACCAGAAACCGGATCAAAACGACTCTTCAGTACTTTGTAAATCCCCGCTAATTGCATATTTTTGGCTACCTGTAGAATGTTTTCGAAAATTTCACTATCAATTATATGAAGATAACTATCTTTGATTTCAATATATCAAGTAGGTAAATTGTACAAAATATCTAACATCGAATTTGGAAAATCTGGTTTTTGCAACTCATAGTGAACACTTAAGTCTAACTCCGAGTTGTTGCCTGATTTATATAAAAAAGTAAACCTTTATTGTCTTTGTTAAAAAAGACTCAGAGGCGCTTATAATTTGTATGTCAGATAGAAAAACACTGAACAACCGGGACAAAAATAACAAACACAATGTGTCTGTTAGGTTATTGGAACTAAAAAGCTATCTTTTGGTCCAGTGGAAGTTCATATGCGACTGGTTCATGGAGTACTTCATGTCAGAGATTTCCATGTTTGAATTTTGAATATATCCGTCTCCTTGATGTAAAATACGAAATATCGCAGCCGTATCTCTTCTCGGTCCGCTGATGTTCAGAGATCTTCCAAAGCTTTCTGCTATGATGAGATTTCTTTATTCCTGACAATAAAAAACGTTTGTCATGAATTATTCAAATAAATTTGTTGTTCAATATTTTACCACTTATTTCTTTTTCAGCTGAAAATTTCGTTAAAGTTTGAAATAGTTGATTTGAGAATAGGTTTATAAACTTAAACTGTATGAATATAATGATTGGGGTTGGTACAATATGTCAACACTAAACATTATTTATAAACAATGTAGTGTATAGATATATTCACTTATCATCGGAATGAAAGAAATCATTGATCTATTCCCGTTTGTTCATTTCTTTCTCTACTGAAGAGCGGTTACTCATTAGTTAAAAGGTTTATTTATTTATTCATTTGAACACAAATATTGGTACGAAGGGGCATCAGATACATATGTTCCACACAAAAATTTCATTTGGTTTGTGTGTGGGCTGTGATACTGCCTGGGTACCCAGACCGAAGCAAGTGGTATTCTCAGGGGTTCACACCCGAAGCCTTCGATGTAAAGGTCTGATCCACAGGGCAGTAAAGCAACAATTAGGAGGTGCAGTCCCATGGTAGTCGGTGACCAATAGTAGGTTCATGTGCCTTTTGCTCCTTTAGGATCCTGGAGCCCATGTTCACCATTGGTTTGAAACCAGGGTTTCTGCATATCCACTAACCCGGTTAAAGCGCCGGGCATTCGTTTCTCGTTCTCTCGATTTCCTAAACAACACCCGTGGCGCGAGAAGGAAGTAAGACTTCCCTAACAGTGGCTGTATACGCGTGGCCATCCGTTTGGTTGTAGGTTCGAACATCACTTCACCTATTTCAGTTTTTCGGCAATCAGATAGTATCACTAGTTTGGAGACTTAGAGTTTAGCTGGAAACCAGTTGTATTGTTCAATACTTTGTAAATGAATTTTATATTTTTCTTTTGTTCCACGTTGCGCAAGTTTCGTCTGACAGTCATTTTTTGAGATAACTTTCACTTGATTTGTCTGTTAAAGAAGGGTTCTTCGTGTGTAGAATTAGCTGTAGTCCATCGGTTTTAGCATGTGGCTTGTGATCAAGTGGTTCACTGTCACTTCACTCCAACCGACTCAGTTTTGACAGCCAATTGACGTTTTTAAACGTTCACATAACAGGTACGTCTGGAATAAAATACAGATAGCTTTGATAGATCATTTAGTTCTATTTAAGATAGTATTGACCCTTGGGTGATAGGCTTTTGTATTTATGATACGTAAAGCCGGATTTACTAGGTAAAGTTATTGATGTTATTGATTCGTAATCTTTATTAATTTAACAATTGTTGTTTGAAGTTCTATGCAAACGTTGTGCCGTGATTCGGAAAAGTAATTTTTTGTTTTTTGTCCATTTATCTGGAACACTGCATGGTGAATATCCTGTACGTTTACTTCATAATATATTGTTGAGGTAATAGTTTTTAATTACTATGGTAAACCATGTCTTATACTAATTCTCGGATAAACATGGTGACGTCTTTGGTCTTAGCAACTAAAGTAATATATTCATCTTGTGACTGAATCATATATATGAATACTAATAACCTTAATAAAACTGTGATTTAACGTTTAAAGCACGGCCTTTAGTTATTAGTTCACAAATCCAAACTTCTGCTTACGTTCCAAACTTCATATTACATACCATAATACAGTGGTTACTGGAGTGTACATTGGCAATAGGGACATTATTATTGTTTACATTGGCATTTAAAGCTTCAATCCTGTTTAAAATTATTATAATGGTGGTCCAGTGTATACAAGGATGAGTTCCTATAGCTTTTAGACGTTTCTGTTATGGAAACAGGGATTCCTTGTATCATTATTTTCCAAATATCATTTACCCGTTTTCGCCTAAGATACTTCAACGTTCCCTAAGTATACTGAATTCCGAAGGTATTCAGAAGTTAAATCGATCGTGAAATCTCATTTGGCGAAAAGTTCTATGGTAACTAAGGTCTTGTTTGGATTCTTTCGTTGTGATTAAGTATCTAACCCTTGTCCTCAGTAGCTTTTCTTTGTATCCGGCTCCAGTTAAACATTTAATTTCTGATGATAAGCTCTTGAGACTCATTATGTGCCTGCAAGTAGCTGTTCTATAAATTTGTGCCCAATTCGGCTGATATATCGAAATAAAACCCGACACCATATATGCATTCTGTCGTATTATGTTTTTTGATGTTGAGTTGACCGATTATGAGACTTAAATCCGGATAAATTTGTGAAATATTTATGACTGGCGAAGACATAGCATTGAACTTTCCTTGGGTTCGCTTAAACTTACTGTATATTTTCTCATTATCGGTTTTAAAGAAGTCTCAACTTTTTCACATTTCTGGTATAAATATCCTTATTTCACAGAATAAGATTTTGTCTCATGTCAACAATTTTAGTAAATCTTGCACAATCTACTGATCTATTGTTGAGATCGGCCTTCAGGAATGCTTAACATTTCACACATTGAGTTAGGAAGCTATTTTACGATGTAGTAAGAGATTCAAATCTGGCTATGTGCGAATAACCTTTTGGGACTCGAATTTCAGACCTTAGAAAATGGTCATGCCTTTCAGTTAAATATCCGAAATTCTCCATATGAAGATGTCATCTGTGACCTACGGTATGAACACCTGCAATTAACTTCAAAACGCTGTCTAAAAATGTAGTAGATTTATGGTTTAGATAAAAAAATTAACGTCATAAACTGAAACCCTTTGTAATGAGAATTGTCGCATTGGGCTGAATACTGACTACAGTAGTCTACTCATTTACTTATTCTTATCAAGTGACTAAGCCAGCTTTTGGTAATTGTTGTCGCATCCCTATTTTCTCTATATTCTTATCATTGACTTTGATTGTGTTTCCTAGGAATACTACCTTTGCTGGCATAGAAACATTGAACAGACTAAAATCAGGAGTACACAGCCCAACTACATAGAAATATAATGAAAAGTTGAAGCTGGTGTCTGTTTTTTTTACTTAACAATACTGTTAACTTTGTCTCCCCACAATTTTGAAAACGTAGTTCGTGGTAAATTGTTAGTAGCTGTCTCGTTTCTTAGTAATTGTCAACTTAAATTCCCTGTTGACCGAACTAAATTTCTGTTAAAAGTTCTACACCCTTTTGTTGAGTTTGTATGTTTAATAGTTCTCAGTTCTTTCTGAAAATTGCCTTCACATGCAAAATCACAAGATCTACTAAATCAATTGAAAACGAATTCTAACTAGGTAGCTATTTCAATAAAGATGTCTTAAAGTTTCAATTGGAAGGCATTATTCATAAAATCGACATAATTAAAAATAAGATAGTAGCTCATTGGTAACATCCTATGAAAATAGGATTATTTCACCAACTGACCAATGTTGAAAGAATATCATTAAATTTCAAGTCCATGGCTACATCATGAGCTTAAAATTGGTGAATGCTCACTGTCAAGGAGTGTCAGGTTACGTCTATGTTGTCTATGCTTATTTGTCAACGGTGAAAATATGTCTAGTTGCCCAGTTTCTTTCTCATTAGCATGGTTAGTCAATTGTATAACATCTTAGGAGTACGCTATATAATGCTCAGTATGTTAAGGGCGTGTCAAGGTTTATGTTTTTTATTGTCGATGTGTAAAAGTTCCATTATCTCATCAAACATTGGAGCGCAAAGTACTGTGGATAATTGAAATACCGCTGAAATTTGCGTCATCAATGTTGTCAGTGTACTGAATACTTTCTCTAAAATAATGGAGATTGCAGTATAAGGAACCATTCCGATTGATTAACGATTCTCATACCATGTACAAAGGTTTCTTTTAGCTTTAAAGACGTAACTAGGTGATTAGTTTTCCATGGATTCTGAAAAAGCTTGAGCATATTGTTTCATAGAATTTTTCTCATCTAGTTCCTTCTCAGATCTTATACCGACTATTTGACTTTTCTCAAGTTATTTGGTTGTATGCTTTTTTATGGAACCAAACAGTAAGTATATCTATGTAGTGTTTAGTCGGCAACAAAGAGAGCAGTCTTTGTTTTGTTCCTTGTCCTCTGCAAAAGGCTTTTAAGTGTCGAAAAGAATTTGAGTAGCGTGTAAAATACGAAATTTAGCTTACTATTGTAGAGATTTGCTGCATTAAGTGATTTTTTGGATCCATACACCTTTAATGCTAGTTGGATTTTCGAAAAAATACCAAAACTACACGGAACTGAGTTCGATTATACCACTGTAATACTACGAAGTGATTCTTAAATTTATTAGCATTTTTTAAAACTTAATCATGTTAGACTCATCTATTTGCTTTTCGTTCAGCTCACTTCCTTTGTTCACATGTATATATTACGCTTTGTTTTCTATTTTGTGTCATAGGGTCCTCGTATGAAATGCTTATGTCGAAGTAAAAACTGTCGTGGATATTTAGTCAACTAGAAATTTTTACTGATTGTTTATGGAGTACGGTAAAGCTGAAATACAGTCTGCTTATAATCATATACAATGTCAGTTTTATCCACTCAGGCTTCGTGTATTTTTAATGAACCATTAGGAATATTTGTATTCAGGATTATATTTGATTCTTATTTTATATCTATTGTAAATTATACTGCTCTATATAGCAAATATATATAAGTATATGTAAAGATAATTGGTATAGTTTGCAGATTAAATGTATACTTTGTGTCTTTTTGTTCATCAGCATTTTACAGTTTTTTATAGTGACAATAGATTTAAGGCACTGAAAATGTACGTCTATTCTTTTAAATGCTTCTATACATTTCAGTTGTTTTCATTTACTTTTATCCTGAGAAGGTAACATTTTGTTGTTAATATATTTACGATATATCTGTATTCAGTGTTAATTTTTCATATTACCTGAGATGATTTAACAAAAGACCAATGTATATAAGGATGTAAAGGAATTACATCCTGTTTCTTATCATAAGCAGTATAACCATACAACTACATTCAATTGTTTTAACATATACCAAACATTGTTAATCAATCACTAAAAAAACTACTTGTGAGTTGTATACCTGCACATTTGCCATTCACTTGGTTCATGTGGAGTATTTCGAGTTAAATGAAGTCACATACTCGTTTTAGTGCTTTTCGGTTGGACCTTGTATACTCAAGATGCTTTGTTCAACTACAGGGGTCGATGTTGTGTTATCCACTTCACAGTTGTGATGTTATTTCCGAAATTTCCACAAAACTACCAACCATCCCCTTTAATCCTAAGAAAATGCTGAGTGGAGTAAGTTATTTAGGTAATTTCGACTGTACAACCGTCAGAAAGTGGTATAT